CGGGTCGATCGAATAATGGCTATAAGTATCAGAAGACCCAAGATCCACCCTCTCACCAACGGTCTACTGAGAGCCAACATGATGCTCCTAATCGAGCCTACAGTTGAACAGTGAAGGACCTGCACACAGAACAAACTCTAGAGAGAAACCGGAACATAACGTTGCAAAGCAATGGTGATTGCCATATGGGCAACCACGACCCACACTATGTGCGGCGACTATGCACACCTGAGACTGACGCTTTCGTGCTGTCGTTTCCTTTCCGACGACGCCTTACACAAGCCGTGTACATACCCCATCAGATGCTTGCCTTTAGCACCCTATTCAGGTGAGAAACCCTAGCTTCTTGTGAATTCTACTGTCCCCCGGACGACTCTAAAGAGAGCCGTTTAGGCTTTAGTATATTACTCTCGCTGTGGCGTTCAGCCGAAGGCGTAGATGCTCCCTCATGCATAGGAGTTCTGGAACCCGTTTCGATGTACACAGATTGCCTATAACACCACCTAATTCACAGAACTGACAGGTATTTCGCAACTGATCTGTACACTGACTTCTGGACAATGGTCAGCAATAACAGGTGCTTTATGAAACGCTCACCGGCAAGACTGGATCACGGAACAACTAGCACTGAAACCAATGATGGCTTACCGAGTCCAGCTACCACCTAACTCTTTATCCGAAGCCCAGAAACTATACTCTAATATCACCTAAGACCGTCACCTCGTTCGAACTTGAGGATCAAATGTCGCTCAGACCAACTACCTTCACGACAATTGGTGAAACATTGTCGATAGAGACCCTACAGTTTTACCCCTCATCGACTAGTATCCGCGACGACTACGAACTCAACATGCGACTAGAATGTGATGGGAAGTGTACGGTCGCTTATCCGAACACACACCAGAAGGGAGCAACTTAGGAACAGCGAATAAGTAAATGTACTATATGAATACGAATAGGTTTACAACCAGAAAGGACCGCCATTCTCGTTCGAAGTCTTGGCAATAACGCCACCGAAGACGAGAGACATGATGGCAGAAAGCTTAATAACGATGTTGATGGCAGGACCAGAGGTATCCTTGAGCGGGTCACCGACGGTATCACCAGTCACAGCGTTCTTATGAGCCTGGGAGCCCTTACCGCACTCGGGACCAAGACCACCGGCCTCGATGTACTTCTTGGCATTATCCCAAGCGCCACCAGTGTTAGACATGGAAATGGCCATCTGGACGCCAGAGACAAGAGCACCGCACAAAAGACCGGCAGTGCAGTTCTTACCGAAGAGGAGACCAGCAACGAGAGGGGAGAGGATAACCAAGCAACCAGGGGCGATCATCTCCATAAGAGAGGCGTCAGTGGCGATCTTGATGCACTTAGTGTAGTTGGGCTTCATCTCACCAGAGATGATCTTGGGGAACTGCGACATGCACTCCTCGACCATCTGGTTAGCAGCCTTACCAACAGACTTCATAGTCATAGCAGAGAAAGCATAAGGCATCATAGCGCCGAAGAGAAGACCAGTGAAGGTCCAAGGATCGAGGATATTCACCTTGGAGATGTCAGCACGGACGGTATAAGCGCCGAATAGTGCGAGGGATACGAGAGCGGCAGATCCGATGGCAAAGCCCTTACCAATGGCAGCGGTGGTGTTACCAGCGGCATCAAGAGCATCAGTGAGTTCCCTAACCTCGGGACCCAACTCGGACATCTCAGCGATACCACCGGCGTTATCAGAGATGGGACCGTAGGCATCAATGGTGAGGGACATAGTGAGAGTCCCGAGCATACCAAGAGCACCAAGGGCAACACCGAACATACCAGCGATGGAGTGAGCAACGCAAATGGTGATGGCCAGGCAGATAACGGGGACGATGCAAGAAACATAACCAGCAGCAAGACCATAGATGATGCCAGTAGCGGCGGAGATACCCTCGGACTCGGCGATCTCACGGACCGGCTTGTAAGTCTGAGAAGTGTAGTATTCAGTGGTGTAGCCAATGCAGAGACCGGACCAAAGACCGAGAAGAATGCACACAGAGCACTTAACCCACGAGCAAGCAGGATGAGCCTCGTCAATGGCGAAATAGCCAGCGGGAAGAGCCCACCAAGAAAGGGCGATAACAGTGGGGGTCTGCAACAAGGTTGAGATGATGAGAACACCCTTAAGAGCCTTTTCGATGTCAGGAATCTCCTTGACCTTGTAGAAGATGTTGACGGTGAGCATAGTAACAAGACCAACAAGAATACCAACGGAAGAGACCATCAATGGGAACAACATAGTGGACCACTCAGCAGACACGAGAGCATCAGGTGCGGCAGAGCAGATAACCATGGCAGCGCAAGTAGACTCGGCGAAAGAACCGAAAAGATCAGCACCCATACCGGCAATATCACCAACGTTATCTCCAACGTTATCGGCGATACAGCCGGGGTTCCTCGGATCATCCTCATCAAGACCGTACTCATTCTTGCCAGAGAGATCGGCACCAACATCGGCAGCCTTGGTGTAAATACCACCACCGACACGGCCGAACAGAGCAATAGAGGAACCACCCAGACCGTAACCGGTAAGAGCCTCATAGAGAGCACGGAGATCACCATTGTAGAAAGAAGGAACATTGTAGATGGTGACAAGGATGGCCAAGTTAAGAACAGCCAAAGACACGAGAGCAAAACCCATGACAGAACCACCGCGGAGAGCAACATCATAACCGTCAGAGAGGTTCTTCCAGCACTCGTGAGCGGTACGGACGTTGCAGTATACAGCAGTCTTCATACCGATGTACCCGCAGGCGATCGAAGTAATAGAACCCACAACAAAGGAAAGCATGGTGCCGAAACCGATGCAGGGCCAGATAATAACGGAGAAGACAACAACATAAACCATCATGTACTTGTACTCAGCAACGAGGAACGCATTGGCACCTTCAGCGATGTTGGAAGATATCTCACGCATGGCGAGGAGGATCTTCTGAACATCGCGGGCATCACCAGCAACAAGAGAGTCCTGCATACCAGACTTTCCCTTATAGGGACCAGCTAGTTTGATGCTGCGAACATAGATCAACTCCTTGATGGCCCACAGAAGACCTACCACAGGCGGAACAAAAGAAAATACGTTAGTTAATGTGACGCTGCTCATTATGGCAGTGGAGAAGTCACTTCAAGCCTCTTGAGCTTTCTCGCCTTCAGCAGCAGACGATAGCTATCGATAACACCTTGCAGACTTGCATTTCCCCTTTATGGCTGTGTGTGGAATCTTGTCCCTTTGCTGATGTTCAAGCGGGATGACCGGTCAAGCTGCTGCTCTGAGAACTCTCCGGTGATCTATTTGAGTGTGCTCGCGGAAAGCCCATGATAGATAGGGAGTTCGAGAGAGACCAATCGGAGTATGTGCAGGTCAAGTCAAGGTTGACACGAGACATTGGCCTTCACTTGCGTGGTGCCGAGTGTGGCGGTCATCGATGAATAGGCGTTAATACACTCGGACTCATCTTCTAGTGTACTTGATAGTCGCAGATATCATATAGCAAGGTCTTCACCTCACAGTCAGAACATTGCAGTCGACTACACAAGATGAACAAATGCTCGTATGGCTTGTTCGGGAACATCGGACTGACATGCTGTGAATCAAAACCGGTGTGTGGAACGTCCATTCAAGCCGTTGTTGTATCGTGAAGATAGTTCCGTAATTAGATGATGCTGGCCGTATAGGTTATGTTGTTGCGGCTCTTATCTTAGGCGATTCGCGCCTTCAGCATGCCCGTCTTTGTGAATGATCGATTACGTATAATGGACTGCTAACAAGTAGCGCTGGGGTATAACTTTTAGACATGCTCACGATCAATCCTTGCATATGTGGGGATTTTCTCGCCGATCAAGGTTTTACTATTTCCCCATGATGTGTTCCTGGGCTGTCTTCGTTCGTCGGTCTTGCATTGTCGTATCACGGCGGCTGACATATCAGGTGAGTGATGTTATTTTTTATATTATGTAGTATAGCGTTTATCAATAATGCACTTCACAATTTATACTTAGATTAAAACTCATTATATATTAGTATGGCATGAGATATAATCTTAGTGAGCTATTGTCGATACTAACTACATGGTAGTTCACATTTCACTAGACCCTATACCCTATACGATAGATGATTTCCAAAGCCAAGAAGTGGTATAGTGGAACCGAATGATAGGCCTTGCATAGCTGCTATGGAAGTTTAGAGCCGAACCTGGGTGTCAAGAGCTGCTTGTATAAAATTGCAGTTTAGTGGTGTTGCAGTATGATGGTAAACCGATTTCAGGTTCCCTTAGTACGAATGGGGACAAGAGCGTTTAGCGCGGAGCAGTCTCCGCCCAGGGACTCTTCCTTTGATGTTTTCGCCAAAATTAAAGATAAGGGGGACGGAAAGGTCAATAGTGTTGCTGGAGAAGTGAAAAAAAGAAAACCGTCGGATAAAGTAATGAGGAGATGATGGATATCCGCTTGTGGAGGTGTTCTCAGGTCATTAAATTGGTCGACGATATATTATCATTATCGCTCATCGAGGCCGCGGACCTCTGTGATTTATGCCAAGAAAAACTGGCTGCGAGGTGAAGTCGCTAGGTTGTACAGTGAATAGCTCCTATGGGGGTTACTGCTGAATGTCCAACATCCTTCTCCTTGCGCATTCTCTCATTGATCGGGATTGGTCTAGTTTTTCGGAATGCATGCTCCTGCGAGTTTGTCACCCGTTATATGATGTAGAGGAGCACCAGGGAAAGTTTCATGGTGGTGGTGCGGTATAGAACCTGAAATTAGTGGATCCGTATATGGTGTCGCTGAGATGTCATATGGCGTATGTTAGATCCGGGGGTGTTCCTGGTCGATCTCCTTTTCCACATCCTGGTGCCATGTTTGGTGGTGGTATGATGGCATCGCCTATGATGATGGGGATGCCTGCTGCTCCTGGTGGGGTCCTACCTCAGCAACAAGTTGCTACACCACAAGCTGGTCAGTTGTGTTACAGCTAGGCCGATGTTTGAGCTTCGTCTCAGGCGGAGATGTAGATGCTAGTGAGAAGGCTGACGAGAAGCCGGCTGAGAAGAAGAAAGAACCTGCGAAGAGCGTCGTGACGATCAAGCTGGTCAGTTATAATACCGAGAAGAAGGTATCCGAAGGTCCCCGGTTCTATCCCCAATGAGAGCATTTCCGCAGGTGACGACGATTAAGGAGGTTCGGGCAGTTACAGGCCTCGGTCTCCGGGAGGCGAAGGATGCAGTGGAAGGCTGTCCGACGGTAATTTTCCATTACCATTATTATCCTCCGGGACCTGACCAGTACCTCGTAGATATTCTCAAGTTGCCATCTTTGTTGCTATTGTTATTCTTCCATAGTACGATGTTAATAATTGTAGTTCTCTCAGGTAATAAAGAAGGGTGTACCCATGGAACAGGCGGAAGAGATCAAGAAGAAAATGGAGTCAACCGGAGCTCAGGTAATTTGTTTCAAGTGACTGTCCGATACGAATAGTATATGCCTTTCGATGGTACGAATCTCATCATTCAAATCTTGGGAATGACGGTTATTTGGGTTGTGGGTATGTGGGGTTATTTGGGGCGAGAAACATGGCCTAGGTCCGTTTAGAATGCCAGGGTCCAAGCTACTGTGAGTTGTAGTTAAATTCGTGCTGAATAGGATTAGGGAGAACCACGTGTATGTCAATTATATATTGGACTTTTTATCGGTTGGAGGTTATCGATCGGCTAATGAGGTTGTTGGCGCTTGGTGTACTTTCAGGTCGAGTTTGTGTGACGTTTTCTGGTGTATTTGTCATGCTTGAAATCGTGATAAGTTTCTGTGAAGAGCTAAATTGTTGTTTTGAGTGTGGTCATGCTACGAAGGGAACTTGGTACTCAGAGTTGATCATTAGCCTGATGGAAATGTAGCCATATATTCTGATTGCCCTTTGGAGACTGCTTGTGTCGATATTCTCGATCGGAATCGAGAATAGCAAGAAAATGGATATTGACATTTCAACGTATCCCTGTCCATATTCCGTCCGGGGGTCTCCTTATCTTAGATTGCAATCGACGCAATTGATTCGGATTGATATTTGGTCTAGAAATATACTTTGAGAATGAGTGATGCGGCTCATATCGACTCTCAAGCCGGTCGACCAAAGCTAACCTTGCCGATAACACCGCGAACCCTCAATAGCGTATCCTCGTCAAACTATGAGGATACCTATGGAAGCCATGAGGTAATGTGGATTGGTATAGGGGAATGTTGTAGGAAGTCCTTAGAGTCTCCGTCATTGACTTGGTATTATTTATCATCACGGCGATACTATATTCCATTCCTTATGGAATAGTTTTTACGCTACGTAAACTCTTGTAAATATGGGAGAATAAAAAGATGATGAGATTGGAGTTTTGATTATAATGGGTTTTGGAAGCAATCATTTGGCATGTACCTTGATCATCAATAATTGTATTATTGTTGTGATGAGTCGAATGCTGCTGTTAATGACTCTACGCCAGAGACCGAAGCACCATACTCAGTATATCTTGGCTCGATGCATTCTCTGTATTGAAACGTCGATCGGGAAATACCTGTTGAGACGAATCATTCGTTCGATATAATTGGTTCGCTTGAGTCCTGTTATTGCTATCTTCGCTCAGGAGTCTTACAACACCGATGTAGTGTTTCGTGATACAAATGAGGTGGATCATGATGTGTGTTCTCCTGGCAAGCGAGATGAACATAGGAGGCGTTTTGAAAGCTTTGAGAGCTGGGATTCTGCTTCGGATAGCTGTTCGTCGAGAGACGGTGCATTGAGTGATGGAGTGGATGAGGGTAACATGCTCTTCATGAGTTACGAAGCCTCTCATGAGTTGCGAGAATTGCGAGCGACACGTGAAGTGCAACATTATGGGGGGATGAGAGTGTTCCGAGGTCTTTGGGGGATGGTGTTCTATATAGGACCCCATTGGTAAGAATGGACTGGGTTAGGACTGCTGTATATGCTCTTACAGGTATGCTATATTAGTGATGATTGGAGTCATTCTTGGTATCGGTTTTGGATTTACTTTTATGCTCACACCAGGGCTACAGTTGTCGGAAACTCAGCAGAAATTGCAGAAATTCATAGGGACTTTTTTGACGGTAGGATGGAGTTACTCCCCTCGATGAGTCTACTGTAGTTGTTGTCAACAACGGGAGTCGCCCTTTCTTCTATAACTAGTCGACTATTAGGTCACATCTGTTCATCTGATAACAGAGCCATCATCACCATGAGGCAAGATCGTCAATGACGACTGTCTTGTGAGTGATGATGATGTTTAACACCAGCCCGGAGTTTCCAGGCTCACCATTCAACTCTTACTCATAACTCTCTTACTTGTATGATATCACTGTACACCGGTTCCAAGCTTTTTCTCCATCATTATTCTCGTTCACACTTTGGATCTTCACGACTCTTCTCTAGACGATCCCAAAATCCAAGAGATGCCCCTCCTTCTCATTTAGATGATCTCGCTGCTCACATTCCTTCGCTGCGCGCTCGTCTCGGACCCCGGTATCTTGCAAGCGTATCCTGAGGAGGCTAACGATACTGATGACATTGGAGAGGAACAGTGGCTTCCCAGCCACGGGATGATCTACTGTAGGAGGTGCAAAGTCATGCAGAGAAAAGGAACTCTGCACTGCGAGTAAGGAACACCTGCTGTTGAGCTCGTATCGGGCATCAGTCGGATAGAGTTTGACGGCTTATTTGTATGGCATAACACGGCGGTGTGCAGTACAAACGAGGAGTGGTGAAGTTTTCCCTACAGGCGTTAGTTATCACTCTGTCTTCGTAGTGAAGTGGCGGATCTCGCTCAGTCCACGTCTATCGAGTCTACCAATGGATTTGACGTATGTCTCGGTTCCCTGGAGTCGACATTTCTCTTTAAAAAACGTTTTCGTGCATGCCTCTTTGAGCATGAACGAGTTTTTCGATTTTCGCGCAAACCTCGGTTTATAAAGGAGTCATTGTTATTCACCTCGTGGCCTCCTACGCGTTTACTTGTTAATTCACATTCACCGACTGTCCTTCTCTTTACTTGATTGGAGATCGCGATGGATACGGTTTCGATCGAGTACTTGATGTCGCGTGGTCATGTCAGATACTGCCGGGTTTGCATAGATGAGTTCGACCATCATTGCCCGTGGATCGGTAAGTGTGTCGGTGGAGGCAACGTCACGGATTTCTATGTATTCCTTGCTGTTTGCGTTGCTTCATCCGCATACATTGCGATTGTTACTGGTATATACTTTAGTCATATTCCATAGAGAGACAATTCTTTGGTTGGTTCGGATAGTGTTCTGCGATTGTCCTACATTCGGTTCAATATCGGGCGTGTGTCTATTTGGCAGATTCCCTGATTGATCTAGTATGGTGACTCGCCAATCATCCATCTGGCATCATTAGTTGAACGCAATGCTGGGGAGAACATTAGGAAAGTACAAGAAAACCTAGAGTAGTAAGTTGATGGTTCAATAGTAGTTTCAAATAGTGGTACAGCTAATATAGCTTAATCGATCAGTAGCTTTACCAGCTAAAGTGGGACATGGCTCAGTGTAAGAGTCGGACCCAGGAATAGATCCTGAGACCTTTCGGTTCGTGAACATACAGGTTAACCACGTGGCCATATAGACCTAGTGGAACATATTCACTAGCCTAGACCTCGCACTCCACTTCATTTCCCATGCCTAATCCTACTGACCTAGAACATGCTAATCATCACGGACGAATTTATTCTTTTTTGCCTATATCAAGTCTCCCATCTTAGATATATGTATTAGACCTTCTACCTTAGTAAGATGGGAGAACTAATATATACCTCTAATAGAGAGTATCTCTAAACTGTTGTAGAACTTGGCCTACCAGACCTCAGATAGTTGAACATTATCATCCGGCCAACATTTATCGTTATCGACCCCTACAACTGTGTGATTCTGACTTTGTTGCTTTCAAGAAAGTGAGACTTTCAGTTTGGCGATGCCGAATCTACTATTCTCAATTCAGCCGTAATATTAGAACTGGGGGGGAGAGAGTAGTAAGGGCGTGAGGGGCTCGAATGCAGATCAGGTTCATACTCATTAATCTGATACTACAATGCCCAGTTTGTGATTTGACGATCTTTCCATCAGTTCTTGCGCAGAAAAATGGCAGCCCCTGAGCTTGCACTTACTTTATCTTCATCGTACCCGAGTAATCTTCGTAATGGCTAGAACTAAGCAAACAGCTAGGAAATCCACCGGTGGCAAGGCTCCTCGCAAGCAGCTCGCTTCCAAGGCAGCTCGCAAGTCCACTCCAAGCACTGGCGGCATCAAGAAGCCTCATAGATATCGCCCTGGCACAGTTGCTCTTCGCGAAATTAGGCGATATCAGAAGAGCACTGACCTTCTTATTCGCAAGCTACCATTTCAGAGGCTTGTCCGTGAAGTCGCCCAAGACTTCAAGACTGATCTGAGGTTTCAGAGTAGCGCCGTAATGGCTCTACAAGAGGCTGCCGAAGCCTATCTTGTGGGTCTCTTCGAAGATACCAACCTCTGTGCCATCCATGCTAAGCGTGTAACTATCATGCCTAAGGATATGCAGCTCGCCAGGAGGATCCGTGGCGAGAGATCGTAAGCTATCAGAAGTCTCTTGAGTCTAACATGCATTACAAGGCGTTATTCAACGCCATCTAAATATTCGAACTTCCATGAAAACAGGTGTAATTTTAAGACGAAAATTAGAAATCGCCATTCATCGGTTCGTAAACATTTAACGTTTTTTCCATCAGATCGCGTACGATATCA